CACATGGAGCCTCTGGGCTATCAAAAGATACTTCCTTGTAAACTGAATTCCAACAATGACTATTTAATCACTGTGAAGGTATACAATGTAAATTTGGACTAAATGGCCTGTGTACTGTAGCTTACAGCTAAAGGTGAGAGAAAGGAGTGGGGGATGAAGGCCATTTGAAACAGTGACTTAGCTTGGTTTGAGAAGTACAGGATTTGATCTCACAATGCAAAAAGCACACTGAAGTAATGTTTTTCGGTCAGGATTTATCCAAATTTTCCCAACAGCTTCTACTTCTGAACTTTTTGTGGGATTAAGATTGACTTCTTTACAAGCATACCCAGTCCCACCCCTCCCCCCGCCCAACTCGCTGCAGCTGGGTTTCTCTGTCTTTCTATATGTTCCAGTATACAGCCAGAGGTGACCCTGTGATACAGTGGAACTGAGACATGTAGTGCCATTTCTAAATATTACCACACTTTCCTTGATCTTACAACAAAGCTGCATAAATGGTTGCAAAGCCCAAGAGATCCCCTAGAGCAGGGGTCCCCAACCCCCGGGCAGCGAACCGGTATCAGTCTGTGGTCTTTTAGGAACCAGGCCTAGAGCAGGAGGTGAATGGCAGGTGAGCGAGCAAGTGAAGCTTCTTATGTATTTGCAGACGGTCCCTAGAGCTAGCATCACCGCTGGGGAGAGGCTGCAAATACAGATTATCATTAGGGCCCTTTTGGGTCTTGGAAGGAGGAGGGAGTGGAGGCAGCAGCAACAGAGCTGAGCAGCAAGTGGTGTGGAGAAGCCGGGGAGGGTGCATGCAAGTGGCCAGGGGACCGGGAAGCGGGCAAGGACTGGGCTTCAGGTGGGGGGGGGGCGAGCGAGGTGCCAGGAGGCTGAGCAGGTCCGGCACGCTGCTGACAAAGCGCAAGGGAGTGGGAAGAGCTTCGAGGCCTAGCTGGGGTCTCGCGGTGCCGCTGCAAGGCCCTTTTGGGTCTTGGGTCTCTAGCGTTATGGTGAGTTGTATAATTATGTTAGTATATATTACAATGTAAGAACAATAGAAATGAAGTGCACGATAAATGTAATGCACTTGAATCATCCCGAAACAATCTCCCGCCCCCTGTCCGTGGAAAAATTGGCTTCCACAAAACTGGTCCCTGGCGCCAAAAAGGTTGGGAACTGCTGTGCTAAAGGATGCCGAGGGTGTGTCAGGCAGAATGAATGCCTGGTGCAGAGAAGCCTTTTAAAGAAGTATGTGCAACTTTTCCCCAGGGGGCTCATGAACAGGATCCTCGATAACTGTCCGTGGGCATTGTTGGGAAAATTTAGATAAGTTCTGACAGAAAAAAGTTGCTCATACTCCCTTTGTGTTATAAAATTAAACCTGCACCTCTTTCTCACAAAGCACTAGCTTTACAAGCCAGGTCACTGTTTAGCATTGCTATTGCCTTAAGAAGATGGCATTCTTAGCTAGATTGAGAAGCAGTAAGACCTGTGGTCTTATCAGCTATAGAAAAACTGAAATAATGGTGTTCATTTGTTTCTGAATGGGCCCACCTAACATCTAGTCTCACAGAGGCAAGTGCCCCTCACTGAGTGCGCTTGTCAAACCAGACTTCCTGAAGGATTCCTCCATCAGACATATTTGCATGTTTAAACAGATCCATGGGCTAACCTGAACTGTCAAGAATTTGCTAGACTGACTACTGATACAGCAATCAGTAATGTTTTCCATACTATTGTTATCGGTATTTCTGATCGTTTAGAACATTATGTCATGCCTAAAGACATCAAGATGCTATTGTACCAACATTATCTGGAAACTTAACACTCTGCATTGGTGTACTAGAGATTATAAAATCTAGAGCCAGTGTGGTGTAGTGGTTAAGAGCATGGGACTGGGACTCAGACGATCTGGGTTCTAGTCCCCGCTCCGCCATGGAGCCAACTGAGTGACTTTGGGTCAGTCACAGACTCTCAGCCCAACCTGCCTCACAAGGTTGTTGTTGTGGGGATAAGATGGAGGAGGAGATGTAAGCTGCTAACTCCTTTCCCAGGTAGCTCAGTTTAGAGGCACTCCCTTTAACAAAACAAGCCATGAGTTCCAAATGTTGGGACAGAATTAATGCTAAACAGGAAAAGTGCCAATACATCTTTCACCTTCTTCATGAAATCCATTTTTGCACAGACTGTGGTCTAGGAACTTGCTTCTGCTATGGAGATTAATGTTGGTTTGTTCCCAAATAAGTGCCATGATGTTTAAAGCTGAGGTGATGCTTTTGAGTTGGGCTTCCCCTGGTATCTGTCCCAGCCACCTGTGTTGTGCATTGCAATGTGTCTTCATGATATCTAACATCACTAGGCCTGCTGGCCGCATTGTGATAACATTCCCACCACCACCATTCTGCATAGAACCATGTGTATCCATCAATTGAAAGAATTATGCATTTGACCAGCTGGGCTTATGCCTCAAAATGCATTAGCCTTTAAGCTGCCACAAAACTCCATTGTTTTGACGGCTGTGGAATTCCCTGGTAGAGTGACAGAAGCATTTCGGTATTTACAGGCCGAACTCAGACAGTTGCCTCTCTGTCCTGTTCTTCAATTTTGGAACCAACTGTGAAGGCAAAACATTTTCAGCCTCTTCTTGCTCATGTACAAGCCAGCGGCAGAATCATAAAGCATTTTCAAGGCGTATCTCTGTGTAACTTGTGCCACCCAAAAACTTTCTAATCACATCTGTGAAGTTTTGAGTGGGCACTCTATAATCAACACTTCTTTCCAGGAACATTGCCAGGATTGATTTGAATAAAAATTTAAATTTCAATTTGGTAATTGAGTTTTCTCTGCCACATTGCATACCAATATTGAATTCACTCTGATTATGTTAACTTCTACTGTGAAACTTCCACCTTTTAAGGGATAATGAAAGCATGTAATTGAAGTTTTTATCTGAAAGGAAAAAATATATGTGTTTATCATTTTCTGTTATGCCAGGGGCTAAATTTAGGGGTTTTTAAAGTGAGTAATATGTCTGCTGTAAAAATGGTGCTGCAAGCTTCACTGGAAGGGCATGGATCCTGTATAACTATGCCTTTTAATTTAAAAAAAATTCATCTGTCTAGGCCAAGTCAAAGACCACATGTGCTTGCTTTTGAGATTTCCTGATCTTTTTATCTTGGAAAATGTTTTTAAAAAACAAGTAGGCAGGAGGTAAGGGAAGTTGAGAGGAGGGATGGCTAACAAGATGTGGTAGACAGGATTTCTTGCTGGACAAATAGTCTTCTGGATCATGTGGAACAGTGGTTCCCATCATGACGTTCATAGGTACTTTGCATGGTGCCTGGAAAGGGGATCCCAGTGTGACTTTGAAAAAATTATTCTTTAGTACACAGACATGGATTTGTATGAAATGCTTACAATTTCTTGCACTTGCACAGCAAGAGCAGAGCATCTATCCAAGCAAATATCCCTTTGAAGGTGGCATGCGTATAATGTCCTCCATCTGTTGCTTTATAGGAAGTGTGTGTTCCTCCTTCCAATGATGCAATATCAGCCTTTTGGTGTCAAAAGGGTGCAGTGAATCAGTTTTTCTGTCCATGTATTGGTGCCATGAAGCAGGCAAATAGTTTAAAAGCAGGTGTACATCACTGAATATTAAAGACTGTTCAGGTATAAAGGTAATCTGCATAATAACTTTCTCCCAGAAAGAGGCAGTTACTGGACATTGGCAAAAGCCTCTGTTTAGCTATATTGCATTGGCAGCAGTTAACTGAATCAGACCATACCTTGTTAAAGAAACATTGTGGTGGCCAGTAGACATGAAAGTTTTTCTGCTGGATCAGATGCAGCCTAAGACTTACAGATGTGACAAGTAGATGCCGAATCATCAAACCTCTGTTTTGGCATTATTTGGTGCTGCCTACAACAGTTTCTCAAATTCCCAAAGTTGCCCACAGATCCAGAAAGGTTCAGGGCACCAAGTCTAAAGATGGATGGATGGCAGAAGCTCTCTTCTAACCCTGAAGGTCTAGCATGCCCGCTTTTCTCATGTCTCTGTTAGCCCCATGTATAGAACACTGGGACAGGGCTAGAGTTTTAAAATGGCTTGTGCAGAGTTAAGCTGTGTATCAGGCTTCACAGCCTATGCAGAAGTTCTGAATTACCTCTCATAGCAGTCTAACATTGATAGGCTACTTCATCCTTCTGTAACCTGCTGCCCTGTTGAACTACAGCTCCCATCATCCCCAAGCAGAATAGCTAGTTGAGGTTGATGGGTGCTTTAGTGCAACACATATTGCGACACCCATTTTATTATTTATTTATTAAAATATTTTTATGCCGCCCCATTCGCCGAAGCCTCAGGTAGCTTACAACAATTAATTAAAATAATTATAATCATTAAATTAAAAAATATAAACATTTGACCAAGAGCTCTGATTTCTTTTCCACTAGGCTTCACCAGCATTTCAGATGTGTGTGTGTGTTTTTTTAAAATCATGCCATCGCCATGCTTTGTTCACTGCTTTGTGGTGGGTTCAGCTGATGCACTCTTCCATTTATACCTCTCTGGTGTTTTCCCACCACTTCTCCCATCTTTCTTTCTGTGAAGGAAGATGGAATAACTGCACAATGTCTTCTCAATGTATTCAAAATGTATTTTCAATGAATTCAAAATAGTACACATTTTTCAATGCCAACAATGTTTTGTCAATGTGCTCCAAATACGATGGCTAATAGAAGTATGTGTGGGCTGGTGGGCGTGTAGGTGATTTTCTAAGGATTTAATTGCTATCCTTGGGTGAGATATTTCCAGTGCTGAGACAAGATGTACAAATTCAACCAGGTCTGATCAGAAAAACAAAGCAAAATAAATTTGGAAAGATGAACAGCAAAATGTTCATGGAGAAGATGGTGTCGTTTAATTAGATACACTGGAATACCTCCAAGGTGGTTTGGGTCTGATGGGAAGACCCAAACCACCTTTCTTAAATAAATGTATTATGTCTATATTGTAGGTTCCTTCTGAAGCTGGTCTCCTGCGATTCACATTTGTTCCTTCATTTGGAAGACTGCCTACCCAGTTCCACATTGCTGATGCCGCAACATTTCTTGGAGTTGCAGAGCGAACTTTGGATAAGAACTCTCAAGAATGTGCTACAAACAGAGTAGGAGTCTTACTTATTCATTTGTTAATACTGATTTATAAGATATGGGGATTAGCAAAAAGAAAAAAAGTCAAAATATACAACCTGCTCTCTTTGCTGGGTTGTTTCATTGTTAAATGTTTGTGTAAGCTGGAGATACCAGGTTTGATGCAGTGTGTTCTTTTGTGACTCCCAGTCCTTAGGCTTTCCAGTAAGCCGTCCAGAGACTCGCAATGTATTGGATGGGGTAAGAGTACCCAAATAAATAAAAAATAAAAAAATAAAATATTTTGCTTAGAAGAAGGCACAGTCCCCTAGCAGGATCGCCATCTCCCAAGCCCCACAGAAGTCTCAGTGTACAAAATCAGGGAATTCAGTGCAGGTGCAGCTCACTTCAATATAGGTCTGGTTAGTTTAAACAGGGCTTCAGTTGGGTTTAAGGCCCTGCTGAGACAAAATCCTTTTATTGTCTATCTGCATTTGTTTGCTGCAGTTAGAACATCTGTAAAGTGTGCAAATGAACCTATCAAATGGATTGTTCAAGACCCAGATATAGGCTCAAACAGTTGAAATAAGAAAGAATCTGAGCTGGAAGAGGACAGACACAGAGCCTAACTTTCCCCCTGATTTTTTTACTTTGAAATGAGTACAGGGGACTTAATGCACATCAGGACTCTTTAGCATTGAGGATAGTGGGGCTTGGCCCCTGTGGTGGTCTCAATCCAAAAGAGGGGCCCCACATTTCCAATTCATATTGCCGAAAGGCCGCTCATTTAAATGAAGGGGATTGCTTTTCAGCAGGATGTTGCCCTCTCCCAATTGTGCCTGCCCGGGTATATGGTCCAGCACTGTTCACGGCCGGAGGGGAGGGGAGGGGGGGTCGCTTTGGTTTACCGAGTCTCCATCACTCTCACGGGACTTCCTGTCCCTTCGAGACCAGGGCTGGAGTGTCTCTACTTGGTGTTGGGCGACCGAGACAGATTGGGGATTCTGTTGGTGTACCGTGCACCCTTCTGCCCAACAGTCTCCCTGCCTGAGCTGGCGGAAACTGTCTTGGACCTGGTGTTGAGGACCCCCAGGATGCTGGTCCTGGGGGACTTCAATATCCATGCCGAGGCTAGTCTGACCGGGGCGGCTCAGGACTTCATGGCCTCCATGATGGCCATGGGGCTGTCTCAACATGTCACCGGCCCGACCCATGAACGGGGACACACTCTGGACCTGGTTTTCTCGACGGGGCAGGAAGAGGGTGGTCTGAGGGTGAGGAATTTATGCTTGACTCCCCTGTCATGGTCAGATCACTTCCTAGTGAGGTTTGTGCTCGAGAGCGACATCTCCCTCTGTAAGGGTGCAGACCCGATTGTGTGGGTCCGCCCCCGGAGCCGGATGGATCCGGAAGGATTCCCGAAGGCTCTGGGGGAGTTTCCGGCTGACAAGACGGGTGCTCCTGTCGAGGCTCTGGTTGAACTGTGGAATGGGGAGATGACCAGGGCTGTAGACACGATCGCTCCTAAGCGTCCTCTCCCATCGGGCAGAGCCCGCTCTTCCCCTTGGTACACTCCAGAATTGAGGGCAATGAAGCAGGTTGGGAGACGGCTAGAGCGTAGGTGGAGGAAATCACAGGATGAATCTGACCGAACACACTTAAGAGCCCACTATCGGGCCTATGCTGTGGCGGTGAGGGCGGCGAAAAAGAGACACTTCTCCGCTTCCATTGCCTCCTCACAATGCCGTCCAGCGGAGCTCTTTCGAGTGGTGCAAGGCCTGGTTCACCCAGGGCCGAAGGAAGAGCTGATTCCACCCTCAAAGGCCCGCTGTGACGACTTTGCCGAGCATTTTAGGGAGAAAATCGCTCAGATTCGTCACGAGCTGGATTCCACTATTGATTCAGAGGTTTTAAGGGAGACACCAACGCTGCTGTCTGGTCCAGAATTATTGGATGAATTTCAGTTACTGCGGCCCGATGATGTGGACAAGGTGCTTGGACGAGTACGTCCTACCACTTGCCTTTTGGACCCTTGCCCGTCTTGGTTAATAAAGGATTCCAAGCACGGGATTGGAACCTGGATCTTGGAAGTGGTTAACGCTTCTCTGAGGGAGGGTCGGGTGCCTGCCCCTTTAAAGGAGGCGGTAGTCCGACCGGTCCTGAAGAAGGTGTCACTGGATCCAGGGATGGCCGCTAACTATAGACCAGTGGCCAACATCCCGTTTCTGGGCAAGGTGTTAGAGCAAGTGGTGGCGGGACAACTCCAAGCACTCTTGGATGAAACTGATTATCTGGACCCATTTCAGTCCGGCTTCAGACCCGGGTACGGTACTGAATCTGCCTTGGTCGCCCTGTACGATGACCTGTGCAGGGAGAAGGACAGGGGGAGTGCGTCCCTGTTGGTTCTCCTGGACCACTCAGCGGCTTTCGATACCATCAACCATGCTATCCTTCTGGATAGGCTGGCGGGATTGGGGGTCGGAGGCACCGCTTTGCGGTGGTTCCGCTCCTATCTCAACGACCGATTCCAGAAGGTGGTGTTGGGGGACTATGGCTCTGCGCCATGGCAGCTTTGCCATGGGGTACTGCAGGGTTCCATTTTGTCCCCTTTACTGTTCAATATCTACATGAAACCGCTGGGAGAGGTCATCAGGAGGTGTGGGCTGCGGACCCATCAGTATGCTGATGATACCCAGCTCTACCTCTCGTTTTCCACCAATCCAGGTGAGGCAGTGGCTGTACTGAACCGGTGCCTGGCCGAGGTAATGGGCTGGATGAGGGCCAATAAACTGAAGCTCAATCCAGACAAGACGGAGGTCCTGTTGGTTGGCGGTTCGGGCTTCGGAGAAGGTGACCTGAACCTTGTCCTGAACGGGGTTGCACTCCCTCCTAGGGACAAGGTCCGCAGCTTGGGAGTGCTCCTCAACCCGGAGCTTTCACTTGAAGCTCAGGTGACAACAGCGGCAAGGAGCGCTTTCCTCCAGCTTCGGCTGATTCATCAGCTGCGCCCCTACCTGGAGTACGACTGCCTTGCAACAGTGACTCATGCGCTGGTGACTTCCCGTCTTGACTTCTGTAACGCGCTCTACGTGGGGCTACCCTTGAAGACGGTCCGGATACTTCAGTTGGTTCAGAATAGAGCTGCCAGGCTGCTGACGGGGACTGGACGTTATGTTCACATGACGCCAGTTCTCCGTCAGCTTCACTGGCTCCCCATTGAAGTCCGGGCCCAATTCAAGGTGTTGGTAATGACCTATAAAGCCCTAAATGGCTTGGGTCCTGGTTACCTGAAGGAGCGCTTACATCCATATTTGCCCAGTCGCCCCCTGAGATCGGCGGGAGAGGCCCTTCTCCGGGAGCCCTCCGTGAGAGAAATTAGGAGGGTGGTTACTCGGAGAAGGGCTTTCTCAGCGGTGGCGCCTAAGTTATGGAATGCGCTCCCCAGAGAGGTCCGCCTGGCGCCGTCGTTATTTGTTTTTCGGCGCCAGGCTAAGACCTTTTTATTTAAGCAACATTTTAAATGCTAAATACAATTGAATTTTATCTGGCCAGAGCGGCTTATTTTATAATGTGTGTTTTAATTTAGATTATTTTATATGGATATTTTAACTTATTGTTTTATCTATGTTGTAAGCCGCCCCGAGGCTTCGGCGAATGGGGCGGCATAAAAATGTTTTAATAAAATAAATAAATAAATAAATACATTGCTGAAAAATTGAAAAAACATATTGCACTGATTTTACAGTAAAGAGAAGGTTGTGGGAAGAGAAAAGGGCATATAGCCTTGGTGTAATTTGGTCCACAGTCATGTAACTGGAAGAAAAGGATCCAAGACGCAGTATGTAGAATGGTCCTGCTGTTCCCACAAAGGAGACAAGAAAAAATAGAAAACTCAGAGGGGACACACACACGTTGCCACATTTCTGGCATTTGAGGAGTTAAAGACTTGAATCTGAAGCTCCAAAAAACCAGTCCCTATATCAGGACAATTCTGCTTTGTACTAAAATGCTTACGCTACAGTCAGGCTACCCAGCTGCAAATCCTCTTGTTTTGTCTGCCCAGGGCCTCTTGTTTAAAGCCCTTTTGTTCCTTTGACATACTCTGGGGGCAGGGAAGAGTTGCCCCAGATTGGTCCCTCCCACTATGGTGGGATCCACTGTTTCGTTGTTGTGCATCCCAAGGCCAGAATTGCATCTCCATCATTTCTCATTTAGAAAGGCCCTGTGTTCCATTCTGCCCGATTCTGCCCAGTTTCTATGTATAGGTCTTGCTAGGATGTTAATTATTTCTTCTGCTTTTCTCTCTGATATAGCTAGAAAGGGGCAAGAATGTTCTCTTGTATCAGATGCTTGGGCAGACAGTACACTGGTGAAAGAACTGTAGAAGCCACATTATGTCAGAAGTAAAGGCCTTACACCATCTTTTTCTTCAACACTCCTCTCCTTTCTTGATAGCTCAAATGTTTCTGAATTTGCTTTAGAGGTAGCTTGTGATGCTACGAACACCCTGTAATTCTGTGGGTAAGGGGAATAAGCATAAAAAAGTAGAGTCTCCATCCAGATATTTCCTTTTCTTTTCATACCAGACTGACACACTTGCTGAAGACAAGGCCTTAGGAAAAGAAAGCAAAGTTGAAGCCACCAGTCCCACAAACAGCCACTGCAAGAGTTTCCACCTGGAAGGACATAAAACAGGCAGAGGGGAAATGGAGGGAAATGACCTTTTCAAAGCTGAGTTTGTCTTCATTACGGACTCTGATGAAGACACACAAGCTGCTGCAGGCGATGACCATGGAGGGGCCAAGATTTCAGAGACATCCTGTGTGTCTGTTGGTGGTGAGTCAAGAGGACAGCTAGATGCTCCACAAGTCCCATTACAGACTGAACTTCCTGCTGGTTCTGCTAGTCAACAGAAACATGCCCAGGTATCATATTCTTCAAGGGGTGTGTGTGTTGGGGCGGGGGGGAGAGAGAGTGCAAGCAAGCAAACTAGCAAGCAAGAACCTCTCACTGCTGGCACTGAGAGGGGGAAGTAATAGCATATGAAATGTATTTGTACTTTCCGTGGGAACAGCTGTGAGAAATGGGTGTGGACTGCTTCTGTGCTTGTTTTCTTCACTACCAGTTGGAACTTGGGGCCAACGTGCTCAGTCCAGAAGCCCGGCCTCCCTCCCCAGTAGCCACCTAGACAGTAGTGGGGAGGGTGGCCTCAGTGACAAATTCTGCACCAGCACTGGCATGGACATGCTGGGACGGGCAAGTTTTATGTGGGTGTCTGCGGCACCATTTCATATTCTTTTTTTGAAAAAGCTCACAAGCAACCAGAGAGACACGTACAGAGTTATAGATGTCCAGAGTGTTATTGTTTATTTTATTAAGGTTCCATCATCTTCCATGAGGAAAAGAAACAGATTTCCAAGTAAAGGTGTTTATCATCAGGACAGCAAGAAACAAGCACCATTTTGCTTGAGCCAAACGATCACCCAGTCTGAATTATTTTTGAGGATTGTGCTCATTCATGTCCTCCTTTCAGAGAGGATCTAAAAAGAAGTAATGGGATTCATTCAGTGTGATAAGTGCAGAGTGATGTATTATGCTGTTTGAATTGCATTCGTATTCTTCCTAAATTCTGAGCTCTGCTTGCTGATCTTTGTCCTTGCCAAGAGCTCGAGGCTTCCTGCTTATTTCTTTTATTTACATCCTGCCCACCCGCCCCCCCCCCGCCCCACATATAGTCCCACTACAATTCTGAGAATGTGACAAGATTGAAATGTACCACATTCAAAAGGAAATTAATTCAGGAAAGCTTGCTGCACATCAACGCATTCAGAAGATCACTTAACCTTACCTTAAAATGCAAGAAACGGCTAAGGAAAAGGAGTGTGAAAGATGGTCGTATCTCTAAAACAATTAGGTTTTTAGGAACAGGCAAACAGCAACAAAAATCCCTTTAATGTGTTGTAATTGCATTCTTATTTCACATTTTTAATTTAATATACCTCAGGGGTGCTGCTTTGTATCTGTCCTAACCTGATTGCCTCTGCGGGAGTTGTGGTGCGTGATGGTGAGGTATGTGTGCAATGGCATCCTTTTTTTCGTTTGCCAGTATGCGCAGCAGTCCCAGTCTGGATTGGAACTCTAACATGGGGCGGAGGAGGAAGATTTTATCTCCTGCAGTCCTGATCTGGATTGTTGTTGGTATTCAGCAGGGCAAGAAGAGACTTTCGTTAACAGTTAGCAAATCAACGTATATTACCTCCACCTAAGGTTGCACAAATCCGTAGTCCAAACACACACAAGGTTTGCATGGATAGAAGGGTTTCCACTGTTTTTTATGAGCAGACAAAGCACTGGGATAAACAGTCATGGAGTATTTCATTTTAAGAAGAAAACAGAAATCCCCCATATCTGTGGAACTCTCTATATCCACAAAAGGTATGGCTTGCGTCCAGTAACAATTTTATGGTTATATTCTGATTTGTATGGTAGGGAATGTGTCAGGTGGCTGAAGTCCAAAACACAGCTATGTTTCTGCATGCACATCAACTTCTTTGGGACAAATTAAGTCAGCATGCAGCTCCATCTACAAAAAGTATCTGCTGGTACAGAGAGTGTGTCCAAGCTCTAGTGCTAATTGGTTTAGGGTAAATCAATGCTTGCAGCAATTTGATGTTTTGCAAACTGTCATTTTGCAAATGCTAGTTCTGATCCACAACTTTTGGTTTACACTAATGCAACAGCATAGGCCTGGAGCACAGTTTGACACAACTCGAAATCTTTTTTTGAGTTTTAAGAAATGTGCAACTTTTGGTATCTTTTGTATGCGTCATACAGGTGCATTAATAATGCACTATTACTTTTGCAAAGGTATGAAGCAAACTAGCACAGAGTATAGAAAGCCAATATCTTTCTTTATATGAATAAAATCAATTATATCTGTGGGTGCTTTAATATTAAATAACAACCAGAGAACAACTTAGCATGATCTATAACGAAAGAATCAACATTTTGCTGTTATAGCACATAACAGATGCAGTGGGCATTGGAGACAGAAAGCACAATTTTAACAGATTCTACTATTTTAACATTTCTTTTTTCTTTCCCCCCACTCCAGTTAACTTCTCCTCTGTCTGCCTCTGATCATCTTTCCCATAAATCGCCTGCTTCCCATTTACTTTCTCCAACTAACCTGCGGGCAGAATGTGAACTGGCTCCTGCAGTCCACCAAGCCTCTTCTCTGCACGAAGCCCATAGGCAGTGGCAGTCTACAGATGGATCCACCCTGTGCCAGTCATCCGCCTACATACAGTCTACCACTTCTTCCCGTCTACCTCCTTCCATATTGAAAAGGCCTGCCTTCCCACTTAACTGCCCTTCGGAGAGTGCTTTGTTACTGAGTGGTCCCCAGACTAGCAAGCCTCATGAGAAAGCTGAATCTAGCTGCTCTCCGCCTTTGTCAAGCAAGGACTCACGTCCTTCTTCACAGGTTCTCAGTTCTGCAGATGCTCTTCAGAGCGCCTCTCCTCAAGCTCATTCGCCTCTTCCTTCTAAAAGACCTGGCTCATGGTCTGTGGCTCCTGTCTGTATCACAACACATGTACTCTCTCCCAGCCCGAAGCCTTTGTCTTCTCCTCTGCATGGCTCATCCTCAACCCTGCACAGCATAAACAGCCACTGTAGCCAAAGGTCATCTAGTGGAAATCTTCTGACCTCGGGAAATAAATCCCCTCTGCCAACCAGGCTTTCTCTTTTGACTGCTATTCTGAAGTCAGGATCTTCTCCCAAAAGGCCATTTTCTCCTGCATCTTGTCCCGCCACATTTTCTCCTAATTCCTTAGGCTCTTCCATGCTGACAATAGACCAGAAGTTTACCACCCCTCCAACTCCTAAGAAATCTGGCTCAAATGTTTTGACAAGGTCAGATTCCCCAAGCCAAAATGAACATTGCCTTTCAGTCTTTTCTAACGTGCCAAACCACATAGCCTTGCAATCCAAGTCTAGTCCGACTCGTCGGTGTAGGTCAGTCTCCCCTAACAGGCAACGCAATGGTAGGGAACTTTCTCCAGACAAATTTCGCCCTTTGTCACCCACAATTTCATCCTATAGAAAAACTGCTGTGTCTCCTCTGTTGCAACCCAAGCTGACTTATTTTTCCTTACCTCCCCATGCGCCCAGAAAGGGGGCACTCTCCCCTGTCCATAGAACACGAGGACCTGAAAAGTCTAAGATGGTACATACCTACTCCCCCACTTTCACTGCAAAGTCCTATCCTGTGTCAGCTCCTGGTGTTGATCAAAAGGGCACAACAGTGACCCCCACTGCAGAAAAAGGCCCTCCCTCTCCAACTTTTAGGCTTTCTAATGATCAATTTACAGGACATTTAGCTCAAGTCTCTGCTAAGGACCCATATACTTACCCATCCGCTCCATCGCCTCGCTGGTCCCTTTCTCATCCCATTTCAAACTCAGCTGCTCCCTCAGGCTGTGCTAAACCCCCTTCACCTCAGGACAGTTCCTCCTCAGTTCACTCAAGCTTCAGAGCTTGCCCTCCATCTTCAAGACCCAGAACTCCAACAGTATCTCAGCATAGATCTCCGACCATGGTGCACTCACCTTGCCCATGGTTGTCAAGATCCAGGGAGCTGCATTCACCGCTGTTTTTCTCCCTCCCTTCTGACTCTGAGAACAAGACTTCCAAGGTATTCTGTGTGCATGCATGTTTGCTTGCTTGCTTGCTTTTTGCTTGCTTGCAGCTATTTTCTCCCTTTCCTTTTCTGCCCCAAAGAAAAAGAATAGCACCCCAAATAAAAAGGGCATCTACATTTCTCCCCATTTGCTACTTTTTGTTTTGTTTATTTTCCCTGTTTAGAGATGGGGAAAAATCAGGTTGCAGTTTAATGTAAACTTTGGACTTTTGAATGAACACACAAGCTGAAACTCAGTTATCCTTCAGCATCTGCACTTCTATGAATTTTGCAATATACTTATCCAAACAAAAATTGTCTGCAGAACTGCATATATTGGGGAAACATTAAAAATGCATTTTGTTAGGAGCACTGTTTGCCAAAAGTTGTATATTATGCAGAAATGCATATGAGTTTAGGTATTAGGAGAAATGAGCACAAAAATACTTACAAGTTTTCATGGGGACTTAAAAAATATCTCAAAGTGCAGAATGAACTGGAGACTGAATAAATTCTAAAACTTGAAAATGAACCCAAATTATGATTGGAAAAATGAGAAAGTGAGAGAAACTCAGCAGATCTTTTAATCTCTACTTCTATCCTATCCTGTTTTACAAACTCATGCATCTAATGCATAGAGAAAGCTTCCCTGGCCAGAACGGAATGGAAACAATGCTTGTTCACTTATTCCCTTACCCAGATGGATTGTGGCCTCTGTTGAACTGAGTGGGGCTGTTCACACATACTAGAGACCTGCAGGCCCATCTTGGTCTGCGTGCGCCTCTGCAATGGCACAACAGTATTTCTAGTCTTAACATTGCATGTGACTAGCGATTGCTGAAACACATCAGTTTTAGGTTCCTTCTTAACCGTTTGGAATTGTTACCCTTGGAAAGCTTTGGCATGATCAAATTGTAGCAGCTAGATAAAAAGAGCATTTCTTTCTCTGTTAACTTTTTGTTCATAATATAAGTGACAGTTTTATTCTGTGTTTGTCAGTGAAAAGAAAGAACCAGGGCTAGGCTCTACTGGGTTAATTTTAGGATCGAATGTTTTGAATTTGATGCCCCCTGTTTTCAGAAACAGAGTACGTAGACTGCAATTCCACATTCTATCCCATGGATAGCAGTGTGATGCCAGCTTGCATTAATAGGCTGGTTTGTGGAAATTGTCATTTTTTTTCTGCTTCTGAAAATTGACTCAATTACTGATTACATGGAAACAGTATTAATTTAATCGAAAATGCAACAACTGTGTATCTGGTTATAAATATTTACAAATATCCCATCTCCTTGTAAATATCAAGCAAGCTCTACTTGTGATTTTCTGCTAGGAACTTCATTCTGTTCTTGTGTTCATTCCTCTGTATAAGGAATGAGGAAGAGGGCAAGGTGGGGGTGGTATCCATCTTACCCTCAAGAGCAAGAGGAGGAAGTCCCATCATGTGGCTCGTTTCCTGGTATGCTAGCAAGTGTGGACATGGTGTAAACCTTTTCTTGTCTAAACACTGGTTTCCAGTAGCAAAGCTAGCAAATTGCAGAATTGGTTACAACTTCACGGTATGGAGTCTGAATCAAGCAGGTGGTTAGACTAGGGTTCTTTCCAACTCTGATGACATTGGTTTATGCTTAGTTGGTACAGGACAGAAGTCTGTTTCTCTTTCTTGTGCATACACTGGACATTCTTCTAGACACCCTTGCCAGCACATATGTATACAGTGTTAAATATTTGTGTGTGTGTGTGTGTGTGTATAAAAACTGTCAGCCTTCAGCTCCTTCACAGATATTCCAGAAACCCTTTAATAGAATGCAGTGTCATGAGCCCAGCCATTTCTCCTGGGTTACTCCAACGTAAAGGACCAGATATTTCTAATGACAGTAATTTCATTGTACCTAAACCTAGGTTTGTAATCAATGTTAATCCAATTTAGAGTAAATGCACCAAGAGATGTAAATTAGGCCAACATGGGATGCTGTTTTTAAACCCTGCGTGTGCCATTTAGATCTGTGCAGCATGAAGATATCTGTATTGTCCCAAAAGGCTTTTCTTGATAAGGGAGCTTAATGGGGCTGCTGTGGTTTTAACTTTGGTAAAATGACCTCTGCTCAGACAGCAGCTTCCTAGAGGTCCCAGAGAAGGCAGAGGAGAACCCAGAAATTGTGCTGGAGCTGAACAGGCCTAGGTCTGATCAGTGTCTGGATGAGACACTTCCTAGGAATTGGAATTTCTCATTGCCAATATATACTGTATGCAACGACTTTCCAATCTTCAGGCATTGCAGTACAGCAGAAGAAGTAACAGACATCCTTAAATGACCTTGCTGTTGCGAAAAAGGACATTCATTGCAGAAGTTCTACTTTCTGTCATTGATCTTTCATTAAGACCTTTTAAAGGGAAAGTGCTGTGTGACATACTAATTCATGAAACAAACCCCATTGCCAGCTCTGTTAAGCAAATGTACCTTAGAATGAGGCAGTTCGGCAGAGTGGTGGGTGCTTAGCACTTTCCCTGCCTGCCTTGACCCTTCCACTGCAACTCCCTGTCCAAGTCATTTTTCCCCTATAGAGACTGCAGTGCGTATTTGTAAAACAAAACAGAATATATACCTGTTCTGTATCTCTGAAAACTAATTTGCAAAAAGTTGTATCCCTCTTCACTTGTGACTCATGTGAAGGAGGTCTACTCAGAGAAAGGGTCAGAGGGAGGCATGGTTTCCCTGAGCTTCACCCTTGATATTCATGAATAATGGGAAAGAGCAGCAGGTTCAGTTTCCTGAGTAATGGCATCTCTTGCTGGATTGTCATATAGCTTGTATGAAGCTGCATTCTTAAGAGTGGTGAATGCAGAACTTGCAATGAGAGCTCAGCTTTCCAAGGGCTTATTAAAAGAAGCATTGGGAAATCAATAAAGGCATTCATTCAGACTGTAGGAAGCAAAATGATAAAGGAAGAAAAGACAACAGGAGCACAACATGATGCCGGCTTTATTGCTATGATTTGACTTATGACTGCCTGGTGCAAACTGAGTTGCCAAATCCAGGTTGTCCCTTAAGAGTTTCCGTGATCTGACTCTAATAATGACACATCCCAAGATGCCCCAGAAGGGAACCTAACTAGTAGGTTACATTCAGAAGAGTAATATGGAATGAAATGTATGGAGTTACTGTATTCTAAACTTGAGATACATTATTTGTGTATTGTGTAATTCCCTCTTCAGCTGATAGAATATTTATAGTCAAGAAATGTCAGAGAATTACGTTTAATGGTACCATGTGTTTTCTCTTGCCATTTTCCTTCCCTGCTGTTCGATTATGATATGCAACTATGCAAGATCAAGACAAGCTACAAGGCATTTGCAGCAATCCCTACAAACACACTGCTTCAAGAACAGAAGGTTAGTTGTTCAAACCTATACCCAAATGTTAGTGTTAATTTCGTCAATAAGAGTTGTCTGGAAAAGCTGCCTAAACCTTCAGATGGTAGACAGATTGCTGCTAGATCAGGCCTTCGTAACACAGGCCAAATGCAGGCTGCCAGTGCTGCGCGGTGGCACAGCAGGGGCTCGGGGCTCCTGCTGGTTTTGTTGCCCACTTTTCTATAAAAACAGCTCCTTCTTTAGCACACGGGAGTCCAGAATGTCCGCAAATGATGGATGCCTGGAAGATCTAGTGCTTGGAATAATGGCACATTGGTGACACCAGAACAGTGTGCAAAGTAAGGCTTAATTTGTCCTTGGGGTTTTTTGTTTAAAAAAGATACGGTGATAGAAGTCAGTCTGTGTACAGAGCTCTGCAGGCATAGTGAGCCTCCGATGCAAATAGGGGTCATGAGAGGTAGAGAGAAGGTGTCGCCTAGCAGCCAAGTGGAGCTAAATCAGTTTCCTTTTTTAGCCTGGGTTTCTAATGTACAAAAAGACTAATATGTTCAGTGTGTTGTGCAAAAGTAATGGCAATTTCATTCTACTAGGAATCTGGCTTGCTTTGCTGTTCTGTTTTGAACTTCCGGCTGCTTAGCCAAGGTGGTTTTATGACTTTGTACAGTTTGCCAAACTCTTTGCTATCTGGGTTCAGACTTCTTTATTCAGGCACTGTCGCTAACACTGTTATCTTAGGCAGTACCAGGTGGATCTGTGGTCTTATTCCATAGGAGGTAGCCTGCTGTGGGACAATGAGGTAATGGGTGCTTCTGGATTGGGCTTTTATCTCCCTGCTTTATTTAAGGAATGAGGATGCCAATATGACACCTTCCTTCATTTGTGATTTTCACACAACAATGGCAGCAACAAAGTAAGGAGGGAAATGAGAACGGCTATAAAATGTCTTTTGTTTGGTAATGCCAAGAGCCTCCTACCAGGAAGCTTCCAGTGAGCCTGCCTTTTACCGTCGTAAAAAGCAGTGGCATGCAAGCCTTATTTTCTGCCCTGTTTGGGAATACGGCTTTGAATGTGTGATCTCTTGAATAAAGGACTGTTCTCAGTATGGTGGATTGCATTTACAATAGAAAATGATGTGAAATATTTCATACCATAGGAGGCAAGTAAAGCAGCAGGCTTGCTGTAGAAGACAGGAGGGTCGACTGCCCCAGAAATGATCTTGGCTAAGCCCTGTGGGTGGGAGTGAACTGAAACAGTTCTGCTTTTAATCTCCTGTGGACAGGTGGAATTTGAGAATAAAAAAGGGTGAGAGGAAGCTTACCCTTTCTTTTCTCAAACCTCCATGGTCCCAATTCACATTGGGGTCATCCATATTTGCAGGAGAGTGGGGGATGCTATCACATATAGCTCAGCTATGTGTGACTAAAGAAACATTCATTTTAGTCCTTAGATGTTTTGCAGATGGCTAGGACACAAATGATGAAAGTAAACTGATGAACACATGAATAAATCCTTTAATTGTATTTCTGTCCTTGTTACATTTTTCCTGTCATTCTTTATTCCTTTCTTTGAACTCAAAGCCATTTGAATTTATCTGTAGGCACTTGATGAACCAATTAAAGCAGAAGAGGAGGCTGAAAACAGAGTTTTGGATACACATTCAGAGGTGACTTTATTAATCTCTCTGTACTTAGACCATCCTTAAATTAACCTTATTTCTGGGTGCCTCTCCATTAGTACTAGTTTTTGTTAACTCGGAATGGCCCAAAATGAATGCATATTTGCATTTGCAAATGGCAGGCTGGAGTGGGCAGCTTCTAGACATCCAGATGCTGTGGCACACCATTCCCTTCCACCTTGGCCAGCATAGTCAATGATGAGGGGGTGACAAGAATTCTATGAGAAAGACCGCAAATTGTGCAGCCCAGTCCAGGCTGTCAATGTCGTCTCTTGGCCACCCTGACTGGCCTTTTAGGGATTAGTGACAACAGAGCAGTGAGATGAAGCAGGCACAGCTTGGCTGACATTATGTTGAGAGGCCTGTGGGAGAATTCTGGTGTTTTGTTCAAATGGGAGTGCTTTGAAAAGCATCTGGATATTTGGAGACAGATCAACAGTAGGCATCCTTGCCTGTAGAATAACAGGATGGAGCAGATAAAATAAATGTTGCTGGAACAGATAAGATGAAGGACATGAGAATGAATAGAGGCAGGATAGCCCTTCCTTGGGTTACCTAAAGGCACTGTGATGGATAGCACAGCAAAGGCTGTACTCAGCAAATAAGCACAGCACTACTCTGTGTGCTTTTGTATGGGAGAGCCACAGACTGTGAGAGTGGATGGGTCAACAAAACAAGGACACGCAAAGCAATGTCAATAGAACAAGCTGATCTCAATAATAAAAGCAGCCATTCATGTGGAACACGGATGACATCCCCATAGCTGGGGACTGAGGCACATGGAAGCAGTAATCTCTCTTTAAATATCTTGTAGATCTGTTCCCCGGCCCTGCTCAGGCAGCAAACTGAAGAGCTGTGTGCAGCCATTGACCAGGTTTTACAGAACCCTCTCTCTGTGGTATGCAAATACCTGTAGTAGCTTATTTCTGTGCTTCCTTTCCCTCCTTCAGCCTCTGCTGCTGAACACCTCTAATTTTGCACCCATTCTTTTTAGAACCAGTCTGATTCTTCTCCAAGCTCCGTGCAGAACATTTTGGACTCAAATATAGGCAAAGTAAGTGAATATTATTCCCCTGATATAGTGTTAGAAATCATCTAACCCAGCTGTCTTCAGAGATCAGTGAGGTTATTTTCTTAACACAAAAACAACATTAACAAAATAAAACAAAATCCAAGAAGGCTCAAACCCAGTTAATATGAATGGTATACCTTTCCTTTTATTTTAAGCATGCACAATAGTAAGGGAGATAAGTCATCTCTACATCTATATGCATTGTTTGTTTGTTTATTTATTTAGGGCATTTATAGGCCGTCCATCACTGTCGTCTCTGGACGGCTTACAATGTAATATAAGTCCTAAACAAAATAAATTGGCACAACTGAATATAAAAATAACAGAGTTAAAATAAGTTAAATAAATAAATATACAATTAAATCAATTGACATTAAAATATTGATCAAATAAAAAGGTCTCGACCTGGCACCGAAAAGCATATAATGACAGTGCTGGGTGGACCTCTCTGGGGAGTGCATTTTAGTTCCTCTTTGAAATACCTACAGGGTCTTCCCGATTTTCAAAATGATAGGACAATGCTCTTTTAAAAGATAGAGACTTACATGCCTTTCTGTGTTTGTCTGTGTCTTTCTTCATCATGGAGCTCCTGCACCTCGAGGTTTACACAGTGGCCAAGTCAGCATTGTCAGCTGGCCCATGGTTTGCACTGCTATTTTCCCTGGGCCTCCTTTCACATTTCTTTCTGGTGCTCTGATAAGCATTAGACTCGTAGCTACGAGTCATCACTTATTCCCCATAATGCCCCTGGTGGGGTATTTAGGGCCTAGGGAGCAATTTAAATGGCAGCCTGCATCTGCCCAGCATTGATTCTAATTGCAGCTCTTGCTGCTGCCGCTGCCGCCATTTGGTTGGCCCACCAGCACTCACCAATATGTGGAGAGGCACTTCACCAGGGGACTCTCAGACCTTCAGCAACAACTGGGAAAGGGGATACATCAATGGAAAGCTAATCTGCTCTCTGCCTGCATTCTGAAGACCCTTCGACACCTGGCTGTGTGTCTGCCTGATTTAGTTGCCGATCTCTGTTCACCACTTCAGGCGTCCTTGGGCAGGAGACTCCCATGTGCCACGGCTGTTATGTGTAGCACAACTAGCTGCATGATTCTTCCAAACGGCATCACAACTTCCCATGCTAGTGTCATCTTTTCCTTGTGGTGCTTTTGCTGGCAAGAAAACTTCAAAGCAGAAAACTGAAATGCCAGCCACGCCGAGCAATTATTACAGGGAGCAGTGCCGTCCCGAGACAACTGAGGCAGGGCAACAAATTCCCTCACAACTTAAGTTATTTTGGTACCTAAGTCAGAAAAGCCCCCAAGTGCCTCTCCATCACAAGGAACATAGAATAATAGTTAAAGATCTAATAATTTCAGGTGACCACCTTTCTCTGCCTAACAATAGTCATGTGACTAACCTTTGAGATTTTTTAAAAATTCCCAGAAGGAGTGCGAGTATCTGTGCGAGTACATATACACACTGCAATTAAAGAATGTTAATAACCTTTGGGATGAATCAATAATTATAATAGGCCACAGTAATTTAGTAGCTTGTTTAATGAATTTATTCATTATTAGCAATTTATTAGCAAGTCTTAATGAAACTTGTTTTTTCCTCCATGTATACATCCTGTTGATTAAATGAATATTTTACATAACTGGCATTGGGTACTAATGCAGGGAAGGGCAGGCGGGGAAGGGGAGTCAGTGTGCCTGAATGTAACAATGTGGCAAAAATGCTTTGCATAATGCACACAGATCTGTCTGATCCATGTTGCTATTATTCATGATTAATCATGATCTACAGACACCTACAGCTTCACAGAGACCAGCTGGCCGGGAAACGAGATTTGTAAGTACCATTATAACCAGACCTTAATTTGTGCCTGAGCTCAGTGCTGTTTTCAAGAGTAGCAGAGCTCCATCTTGGCATTCATGAACGGAGGAAAGGATGTGCAGAGTCTTTCTCCTTCATCACTGATTAACTGCAGTGAGTCCCCACTAGGGATTGGGAAGAGCATCCAGATCTGAAAGTGGCACTTCCAGAGCTCAGACATGTTTCCTTGTGACTCTTACTAGGAACTGAGCTTTTTAGCAACAGGACTGCTGTATTCAAGATCACAGTCACATGGTGATTGTGGGAACTTTTATATCTACCCGACCGAATAACAGAAGTCCATCTCTAGAGAGCGTAGGTTTGGAGGTGTTAGCATTTAACAAGGCATTATATACCATCTCTTCTTTTAGCAGCAGTTCTGTCATCATGGCTCCCCACAGAGCAGGCAATTGAGCAGACCTCTCCAAGGCAATTTGGTCCCCCCACCCTCGCCCCACTTAGCTACAGTAATTTGGCATTGCCAGTGAGTTACCAGCCTGAGCTACTAAAAATAAGCATGTGTGAGGAATCTGCTACAGAAGTGAAAACCTGATGGATTTTCAATATTTGCTCCCTCCCTGCATTCCCCTTCACCATCTCTGTGCTGGCTGGCCCCAGCTTGAGGACTCTGGGACAGGCCATGGTTTGCTCATTTGCTTAAAAAAAGGCTCAGGGTTTGGCCTAGGGCAAAACAGTCCTTGGAAAGACCATTGCATGAGAGTTGCACAAACTTTCTATGTAGTGTCGGCACATCCCTAGAAAAATATTCCTGGTCGTTGCAGTTACCTGTGGCTTCCTAGTTAGTACGAAGTCTGCCAGAGCATTCAAATTGCATACTTGCTTCTTCACAAGGAATGAAAACATGTTTAAGACAGTAGTAAGCTTCCATCTGAGTACTTATTTCCCCGACCCACCAGATTTCCCTCTTGTCCAGGTTAAGTTTCAGCTTGTTTGTCGTTACCCAACTCAAAACTGCCTCTAGAAACCAGTTCAAGAGTTTCAGAGACTCCCTGGGTTGGTTAGATGAAAATGAAAGGCTATACTGTAGATGTAAATGAAGAAAACACATAGTACTAATGAATAAAATGTGTTTTCCTTGAATAATATCTTGTTCTGTTTAAACAACAGAATGCAGTTAATCAAGACTACTGTAAAAAGCATCATTTAAAAACCCCAAGAAAATATTTGGAAATTTCCTGTAAATCACTGTAAATTTTTTCAGTTTTTCTACCATACCACACATGTTTTTGTTTGTAATGTGATTACAAAGTCTAGAGGTCTTAATGGAATCACATATAAATTCTTCTTCTACACACACTTGCAGGGGTAGAGTGAAACAGAGAGCATAAATATATATTTTTAAAATGAAGGGGGAAAGGGGATTGCCCAAACTCCTTGCAAGGTAGAAAGGAACAAGAAATAGTCATTAGACTGCCTGCATTTCTTTTACATCCGCTTCCTTCTGAACTGGGAAATTCTTGGATCTCTTGGGACATGTTCGGGACCACGAAATAAGGGTTGAATTCAGCACTCTGTTTGAAGTCGCAAGCCTGAAATGCTGTGCAGTAACAAAGTATTCTGTTCAAAGACTAGAACTGAGGCTTACTTGAAAGGAGACACATAGATGTCTAGAGGTAGAAAGTTTATTAAGTTGGGGAAAGAGGCAAAAAGTGAAACAATATCCAAGTTAAATAGGAAAACAATAGCTGGGTCTCCCAAAAGGGCCTGTCTAGGATCCAAGCCTGAAGCAAAGCAGATGGATGCCATTACACAGCTCTGCATCTGCCCTGTTTGTTTCCCGTGTTGATGGCTCAGGGAAAATCTCTCGTAATAAGTACCAGGGCAGCTCCAACATGGATCCTAAACTCCAAGAGGATGGTAAGGGGATGCTTTTCGTAGGAGCACCACTGAGATCACTTGAATCAATCGACGAGGCCTGTCTCTGGCCTTGAATGCTGAAGCTGGAATATCTCCAGGTAGCAACTTCTCAGGTGGTTGCATCACTTTGTGCCTTTATGTCTTGCTACCCAATGGATGGTGCTCCCAGTTAGTACAACAGCAAGATGATGCAATCTCACAGTCAGAGCAGCTGGCGGAGAGTGAAGTTCTTGACAATGGGTGTACAACTATTTATTTTGCGATAGGTTAATGCTGCAGATTTACTTATCAAGAGAACTTAGTATGTACACAGAGCTGTTCTTACAGCTTGTCTGTCTGTCAGTTATGATTAGGATAGTCATGTGTACACCTCCAAAAACAAACTGATGTATATGTACAAATCCATATTCAGAAAGAATACTGTAGTTTGAATGACAATGCAGTGCCTCCCAGGGTAGAGGACTTGTGTGGCTGCTCAAGCTGCTTGTGTTGATCAACAAACTCAAGGTCTCCCCCTTTTTGGGTTCTTTCGTCTAGACTCAAATTGGGCAGCTCTTCAGTCAGAGGACAGCTTCAAGTAAAGGTCTGCTCTCCGTAAAAAGTAGGAAACAGCTCCCTTAGTTAATGTTGTGGCTTCTTGGTCTTTCTGGTGGCTGACTGCAGAGTTCTTTGTCCAAGGAGAAGCAATAATAGTAATAAAATCACCAGTTTATTATTTTTCTGTATTGCTTAGTCAGTGTAATAGGTATTGAGAGAAGTGATTTAGGATTAAGTTGTCTGCTCTGCTCTGCCCTGCGCTGCTCTGCCCTGCTGGCCTGCAGTGATTGGAAAAGAGAACGGAGATGATAGTTCTCATTCTCATTCTGCTGGAACAGTTGAGCTCATAAAAAGATGCTTGGGACATCCTCTCAACAGTAACTTTCTAGGACTTTCCAAATGGTCAGTTTATATCCTACAGTGACTAAGCAGTTGTTAGCCCGTTGTCACAAATACTAAGGTTATAGCAAAATGAGACTCAAATATAATGTTGAAAAATGGGTGCCGTGGGTATTTTATTTTGTGCAATTCAGCTGGTTGCCGGTGGAAATAGCTTTCAGTTGGATTCCGTTTCTCCTTGTTGACTTTCCGGTGGTTCCGTGATGAAAGAGTCAGATCAATCTCTATTTGCATCAGCCATATGCCTTTGCATATAAAATATAAATGTACAAAAATAAGTACAAATAAAATGTACTAAGCTAAAATTACCATAAAACATTCTGTGATTTATATTAGATACAAGTACCAAAGTTATTGGATAATTCATTGCACATATCCTTTCAGGACCTATAGAAGTTAGAATTCTGGAGCTAAAGTAGATCTTATTTAATAGCGCTGGCTAGGAATCTTGCGGTTTTCATTGTGATCTGTTTGCTTGATTTGCTAAAAGAGAAGACACATAGGGAAAAACAGGTCACCCTGGAATAGGTAACAGTAGGGGAGTAATTACTGCAGTTCTTAGATGTTGGGATGAAATGTTTCCTGTTTGTTCTACTTTTTTGAAAACACAACAAAACCCTGACATGTAATTTTTTTGTAAGTTTTAAAGTACCATCTTAAATTTCTCCCATGACAAAGGAAGACTCAAAAGAAAGGAAGACAGAAAGCAAAACTCACATGGAAACATGATGAGGGCCACAGAAAATGTGTACACTATTGAATCCTCCCCTCACAACACTTTCACCCTTAAAATGACTAATATATATATATATATATATATATGTGTGTGTGTGTGTGTGTGTGTGTGTGTGTGTGTGTCATTGACTCATATATATATTATATATTGTTGACTTAATGGGGTGCATACTTTGTTTCAGGCTAACCTCTATGTATCTGGTTCTGCAGTGCCAGAGGGCCCAAAGGTAAGTTTCATGACTATACTATCATTTTCTTAATGAAATGGTCCCTGATGCAGCCACATATGCACACAGTACATAGGGCCAAGCTAGTTTTAAAAATGGACTGGGATCTGGGTGCTTGCCTTTCTCTGGAATAGCAGCCGTGTTGGGTTGGGCCTGAATCTAGATCGAGAGCAGAGTTCACAGGGAGGGGGTTACCTTTCTCCCCACGCATGGGCTGTTTTCCTGCTGCACACTGCACCCCCACCCATGACCAGTATGCCCACCCCAAAGCTGCTGTCTCCTCTATAGAGAGCAGCACCTTGATTGACAGTGGGGAGTAGAGCCTTCCTCCAGCCTCGTACTCCTCCCCAAAGGCTGGCAGAAGAGTGTTGACTAGGATACCTGGAGTCATTAGCATGCTGTCCCAGACAGTGCTCTGGGCAAGGGAACGGCGGTTGCAGCCGGGGTTGTGCCTATAAATTCCCCACCCAGCATATGGCAAATGAACAGAAAGCATGCTGGAATGCCGAGGGGTGGGGTGCAACATGCCCAGCGTATCGGGTGTCCCACTGGCGCTCTCTCAAGGAGGGCATAAACCTGAGTGCCGGCCTCACTGCCCTCCCTTCAGGGGAGCTGAGCTCCGGAGCAGAATCTGAGCCGGCCGTAACCACAGAGTGCTCTCCTTGGGCCACGGGGATTTGTGGAGAGCGATGCAGCCAGGGGAGCCCTTCAGAGCTCGCTTACGGATTTGTGTGGACCGAGGCTGGGGTGCGCAACTGTGGCCCGGGAGCTGGGGCAGCCCTTGACCACCCGCTGTGCAGCCCACAAGGCCAGCAGGATCTCAGCCATTCTCGGGCAGCCCAGCTGATCACACGCTCCCTTGATGAGAAGCAGTGGGGACAGCCATCTTGCTGAGGAATAAGAGAGGCTTTGACTTCCACCCCAGCCCCTAAGGATCCTGAGACCTCAGTGGGCAGGGAGGGGAGGTGTGTGCAGCCCGTGGCTCCTCCGCTGACTTTGGAAGTGGCCCTGGGGCTGAAAGGCGATGCGAGGGTGTCTGGGCTGTCCCTGTGTGAAGCTGGGGGAGAGGAGTGCAACATGGTGACACTCGTGGGAACGCAAGCCACAAGTGGGACGGGGGAGCAGGGAGGGAACGGTGCCCAGCACTCTCTGGTGACAGCAGGGATGTGGCTTGCCTGGCACAGGGCAGGCAGAGCGTGGCCCACGGATGGCTGGCCTGCAGCTACCGTCTTGCCTAACCATTGGCTACGCTGGCCAAGGAGAGAGACTGCCGAAGGTCGAAAGTGGGAGGGCCACACGCTGCTCATCCCTGGGGAGCGGCAGAAGGACCATCAAGTAACTGGGAAAGAGGCTTTCTGAAATACTTCCGTAGGATTAAAATAAATGCAGCAGATTTTTAGACTCCTGCTCTTTAAACACACTTGGAATTAAATTGCGTTGGACCAGCCCATATACTGTATGTCATGTTTCCAGCCAGGCAGCTTTAGGCTTACATTATTTTTATTAACCAAAAAGCCCTTCACCAGCCTATTTGTGCCACTGAGTGGTAAGTGGAAAGCCGCTGCTTTCGAAGCTCTGTAAGCAGCAGCTACACGACTCTTTAAATGCCTTGTCTTACTGGTCCCCGGGGGAACCTTATTGGAAAATATATCTCACTTCACAACATTGTAGGGCTGAAAGCAACATCCTTTCTCTAGCCCAGGCCTGGTCTTGTGAACAATTTCAGCATTCTGAAATTTTTACAGTTCAAATCAAGTTTCTAGTCCTTTTATACATGCAAATAGGCTTTGTAAGTATGAGGGCAATGCCTGCTTTTTTGTCCATGTCTCTTTCACCAAGGGCGATGCATAGGTGGACTAAAAATGCAACGAATCTTGAATACATGAAGTATTCATCCCTAAGCACAAAGAATCTTGCAATGGGGAAGTGGAATGGCAGTAATAGGCCAGGAGCAAGCACAGATGGTTCAGATATTAGGCATCCTCCATAGATCCCATATTGGGGTCTGATGTTTCCTTTATTGCAAGGCAACAGATGAAGAATGTAATCCAAAAGGAATACGTGAACCTTTGTGGAATGCCAAAGGTAACTCAAAAGATTAGTTGCTCCTTTTTACATGTAGAAATGAAGTACCTTGTGTGTCAAGAGGGTGGATATCCAAAGCATTTGTCCCTTCATAAATACAGAAGCAAATAAAAATAATTGCCTTTCTCTGATAGGCTTTTTTAGGGGGGTAAAACATGATTTATTTGACAGAGGGAGGCATTTTTTAATCTTTTTTTTTTAATCCAAGACATTTTCCTTTGGATGTTCTGATACATGAAATTGAAGCTTTATTGTTCCCTTAGTGGATGTGTGAGACACTTGACTTTTATGACTATAGAATTTAAGATTTAAATAATAAGTTGTATTCTGGGAATATTTTCCCAGTGAAATATAGCCCTGGTAGAACTATGGAGAAAAAGCATTCAAAGTCGTTTATTATCCATTTTGACAGAATGCTTTGCATTGGAAAAATTGAAACTACTGTATGAAGCTATAGTGCCCCCCAGAACATCCAGCTTCTTCTTCAGTTTGGGTGTGGAAAGGTCTGGAAAACCATCATGTGTGGGAAGACTTTTCCCCGCAAGTTTGCTTGAAGCATCCTTCTAACTCCTTTTAAATATATTCTATAGAAAGCAGTGCATTGTTATGGTAGGAGAGAGAGAGAGAGTGATAAATTCTTCCCACCCAACAACCTACATTCTCTAGGAGTGTAGGGGCTTGGGGAGAAAAGGAGAAGCTTCTTCCCCGGTCCTTTTTCCTGCTGGCTGCTGTGAACCCCAGGCACTCTACTCACTCCCCAAACCATCTCTGTTCCCTGCAAAAAAAGTAGGCCCCAGGTCCTTCACACCCCTAGAGGATGGCTGAAATTCGCAGCACACAGAAGACTTGGAGCACGAGCCCCATATGACTAGTGTTAGTGACACAGTTTCACAATCCAACTCCTCTATCCAGTGTCTGTCACACACAACCCTGTGCTATGTTTTCTTTCTCAAAACACATGCGCACCACTTTGAGATTCCTAATGGAAGGGACACTAACAACTAGGCACACATTCCCCTGCTCCATGTTAAAGTATTTGAGGATCTAGGATTTGGTTTGGTGTGGCAAAAGGGACAGAACCACTGGACCACTTTTCAAACCTCTGTAGAAAGCTTTCAATTCTGGTCAGTCTTCTAGGACACTGGAGAAAGAGAGTAGTGAGCTTATGGATCGGCTTCCTTTGAGAAGTCCAATTCCATCAAGAAATGGACAATGAAACAAAAGGCACCAGAGAATCCACTAATTGTAAATGAAATGGATTTTACGGCATCTCTGTATCCTTATTACCAGTTAGAATAGGGCTGGAAATATTATACGCCATCTTATAATTCCATATGGTGGGATGTAAGACTGTAGAGTTTCTTCTTTCACATTTAACAGTCCTTGGACTGGACCAAGAGGGCTCTACAATAATAGCCATCCTTGTATCTGATTGTATATGTCACCATTAAAATAATATGTCATAATCCATTCAATTTCCATAGCTTTTGAATACACACACACACACTTATATTTGAATAAATGAATCTCTGTCTTGCTCTTTCCTACAATAAGACAAAGCCTGGTGTCATCCGTCCCACAATAGTGAAAGCAAAAATCATGGTACAAGAAGAGGAGCCTGTCCAGCCAAACCCATTCAAAAAGTACCTAGAAGAAACCAACGACCCTGAAACTGAACAGGTAGGCATTTTTAAAATTATTATCAGTTCTCAGGATTTCCTTTGAGCTTCTCTAGTGGTACTTATTAATCATTTGTACCTTCAGAAGTAAGATCCCAATGCTACATGAAGAGGAAAGTCTTTCTTTTCCACAGTGTAAACTTTAGGTCCAAATAAGAGATGGACTAATTCCATAAAGAAAGCCACAGACTTGAGTTTACAAGAGCTGAGTAGAGTTGTCAAAAGCAGGATATTTTTGTAGGGCATTCATTCATAGGGTTACCAGGAAACAGCAACAACAAACTTCAGCTGGAACTGCGGTATAGAGGAATAGTGCAAACACACAAGAGGGAATTTTTTTGAGGGTTAAGTTCTGGGTTAGGGTACAGTATCTTAGGCTTCTGTGCAGGTATAAGGGTCTGAAACTACTCTAGATTGGGCAGACATAAATAAGCAGTTCAACCAAGACATCCTGTCCACTGTCTTTGGGCAGTTGAATGCAGAAGAGTTTGAGTTTGGGGTATGGGTTCAGGTGAAACCAGGTCAGAGTTAGGGTTATTAAATCCTGGGTCCTTTTCCTGGCCCAGTGGCCTGGCTTGAGTATAGAATTAGGAGCCAGAGAAAGGAGTCATCCAAGATACCTTGTATGCTGCCCCTGGAAAGGAAAAAAAAAGTTTTGTGTTATGAAAAGAGGTAAAGTTCAGAATAGGGCTATGCTTATTTATTCTTCTTATTGCATTGCATTTATATCCATCTTTTTTTCTTCTTGCGAGGAACCCAGGGCAACTTACATAGTTGTCCTACACTCCATTTTTATCCTTACAACAAGCCTGTGAGATCTGTGACTGGGTAAAAGTCACCCAGTGAGCTTTCTGGTGGAGTGATGCCAAAACCCAAACTTCCCCAGTCCAATACTCTAACCACCACACCACACTGACTTAGTCAAACTTGGTTTGCTGTGCCATGTCAAGGAACCTGGAACTAGCTTAGTTGGGCAGAGTGAACTCTGAAACAAGAAATGGTGAGTGCTGCATTTGGGGTTAAGGGAGACATTTAAGCTTCAGGTGAGGGTTATGGTTAAACTTCAGGTTACAGTTAGTCACACATGGTTTCTGGTGGAGGTCCAGCAGCCTGGAGCTAGCCCAGATTAGGCACACAGAGGGAACAGTCAGTCAAGGTGCCTGGAATGATACCTTTGGGCATGCTGCCTGGGTGGGGAGAGATTCTATCTGCACGTCTTAGGTTTAAATTTGGATTAGGATTAGGGTTAGTAAAACCTGTCTGTTTCACGCATGTCCAGGGGCCTGGAGGAAACCTAGATTAGGCAACCAGAGATGCTCTGAGTACTGTCTTTGGGCACACTGTCTTGATGGAGAAGGATTCTGCCTGTGAGTAAGTCTTAGGGTTAAGCTTCAGGTTAGATTTCTTGTTAGGAAAACCTGGGTCTTTGTACAGGTGTAAATTGGACTGAGACACCAAGCAGTTGATCTAGGCACTGTCTGGATGGAGTTGGATATTACCTGTCAGAGTGGGGTGAAGTATTACCTGTTAATGGTTAAACTCCAGTGTAAGGTTAATAAAAGCTGGATTCTGTTGCAAGTCTAGAAGTCTGGATAGAACTTAGGTTCAGAGCACAAAAGGAGCGATCAGCTGTGAGTGCTCTCTTTTGCCATGGCGTCTAGATGGAGGGGGATTTTACCATTGTATTAGCTTCATGTTAGGGCTGGTAAAACCCGAGTCCCTGTGCGCTTCCAGAGACCTGGAACACATACCCAGATTGGATTGGGTAGCCAGAGCAAGAAGCCAGCTAAGGCATCCTGAGGGTGTGCAGTCTGGATGGAAAGGTATTTTCTCATTGTGTTAGGATTAGGGTTAAACTTCTGGTTACCATTGGGGATAGTTAAATTTGCATCCTTTGGTGGGTCCAGTGATCTAGATTGAGCCTAGATTTAGGAGACAGAGTGAATAGTCTATCAAGGCATGCGTGTTCTGCCTTTGTCCAAGATGGAGAGTGATATAAAGAAGGAAAATGGTTAAGGTTTAGCTTTGGGTTGGGTTATCAATACCTGAACTTCTGTGCAGGTTTAGTGTCCTGGAAATAGACTGGAACTGGATGGAGTGTCAGTGTGGTATCATGGTTACAGTGCTGAATTCTGTGGGGGCACAGAAGTTCTGAGTTCTAGTCCCCACTCAGCCATGAAAACTCACTGGGTGACTTTGGGCCCGTCACATCTCTCAGCCTAGCCAACATCACGGATTTGTTGTTAGGGTAAAATGGAAAGGATAACCTTGTAAGATTCCTTGGGTTCCTTCCCAGAGGAAGAAAGGCGGGGTAGAAGTATAATGTGTAGAATGGACAAACAGTGAGTGGTGAATGGCAGTACTCCTGCACATGCCACCCCCTTTCACACTGGATGGAGAGGGATTTTATTGCCGTGTTACTTGTGAGGGTTGAGCTGCAGGTTAGCCTACGCCCCTACACGTATCAAGAGGCCTGGAACTAGAGTAGATCGGGCAGGTAGTGTGAGTGGTCAGCAAGAACACCCTGAGTGCTGACTTTCTTCAGGTTGACTGGATGGAGAGGAATTTTACCACCATGTTTGGGTTATGATTTAGTTTCATATTAGAGTTAGGCTTCATAAAACCTGGTTCCCTCTGCATGTTTGGGGCCTAGTCCTACCCCAGATTGGGCAGAGTGAGAGATCAGCCAAGGCAGAACAAGTGCTGCTTTTGGGCTTCCTGTCTGGATGGACAAAGATTATACCCATGTGTTATGGTCAGAGTTAAACCTCCAAGTTAAGGGTAGGGTTAACAGTACACAGGTCCTTGTGCATGTCCAGGGGGCTGGACTGAATCTTGAGCTGAAGATCTTGAGCACATGCTAAACTGATCAAAATGCTGGAAAATCAGCCAAATATCCATGGTTGAAAAAAGCTGTGAGGCCTCTGGAGAACCTGGATGGCTAGGTAGGCCCCTGGATGTGAGGTTCCCCATCCACTGGATTGTGCCTTGATGTATTGGTACACACATATACTCGTACGTGTCTATATTGCAATGTGCTGTTAAGCATGTTTTCAATGAAAGGCTGTTTATAAATCTTCTAAATAAATACCATGGAAGAAAATAGAAGAGATTAGACACCGCAATCTGTTAGGAACTCCGGGGGACTGGCTTCCACTGGGGCAAGTTCTATAGCTTTTGCAACTTTGCAGCAGTGAGCAAGACTCCCAGATATAAGCACACAAGGCATGCATGAGATTCACCAGGTTTGATCTGAAAATCACTGTGTCATGCTGGATGGATGAATAGAGGAAATAAGAGATTCATGAGCTACATGAGGTCTTGTAATGTTAACTGTTTCCTTTCTTCTCCAAATGTCTTACAAGCAGCTCTATTCACTCACATAGAAACACTTGAGTCAATATAGTAGATTCCTTGCTGAGAAGTGCTTTAAAAGAGAGCTTTTCAGGCCATAATTATAGCATAATTATTGCTACCATAACCATATTAACATGATTCTGAAGATGTCTGAGAAAAGCATTCTGAAATAACAAGTTGATATTTAACATTATGGAATCCAAGGAAATTGGACTGGAGTGCATGCCATCTTTTGACATCGATTAACTAGATTCTTTGTCTACTCTTTCTTTCAGGATTCATCTGTTTTCCAACCTTTTTTTCATACTAAACTGAACCCATCTACTAAGTCCCCATTGTATCCACAGCAGGCCTCCTCTCATGCTGATCCGCTAACTCCTGGACCACTCAACCACTTGGGTTCCATCTTGCGTGATAACCATGACAATTCTTATAGTCTTTACTATCGCAATACTTTGTATAATAAGGTGAGAGAGAGTGCGAGGGAAGATGAGGTAAATGTTTTTGGGACAAGAACAAGCATTTGTAGCACCTTAAAGTCTAACTCGTTTGTGTTGGCACAAGCTTTTGTGGGTACTCTGTGCTTCGTTAAATGCATGAAGTGTTAATCTCAAATTGGCAGATATTTATTTGCATGCTGGGGTTGGGGCAGATATAAACTGTGTTGCCAAAGGGAAAGAATACACAAAAAAGTATAAAAGGCAATTATTTTCTTAATCGTGACCATTCATAAAATGTTGCTGAGGGAGAACTCAAACAGCATTGCAGTGATGAACAGATGACCATTTGCGATGTGGTTAAAAACCGCAGAAACTTTTGTCCTTATTCAGAGAACAGGAAATGAAGTTGAATTTCCTGAGGATCATCCTTCAGCAATATCATGGATGTATCTGTCTTTAAAATCTTTTGTGCGAGAATCCCCACTTGAGGTCACAGGGGGCCAGTTTGTATGATTACCAGGCAGCTCGTCGGCAGACTTGCTCATTCTACAGTGCTGCCTGGATGGCCCTGATTACCCTCACTGGCACCACTAGCCACGTTGTCCAAATCCTGGCTTTGCGGCAGCAGCAACCCTCAAATTTATGGGGCTCTCTGGGGATTGTTGTGCCTGCCCCCACAAACAAGGCAGGTCAGGGCAATCTGGCAGGTCATGCTAGCAAGAGTCATAAGGAAAATTTGATTAAGATGCTGCCATGACCTATTTCCCTTGCTGCAGTCATTCAGATTGCACCCTCAGTATATTATGCTTTTGCTAAATGGTTCATAGCAAACCAAAGTGTTCCATGAGATGTTTGGAAGCTCTTTCCTTGGCATCATCAGGGCATATGTGGCCGATAATAAGCAAAGTGTCTATTTGGCTTTGCAGTAGAACAAAACTACCGAGCTGCTACCACACTGTTTCACCTTCTCATGAGTGCTACACTTTGTGACGTTAGCTGACTTGGATGTGGATGGCGGCGGAGTGGAGCCCCGTGTGAGGATGGCACCTCACATGGGTGGCAGGGCTGAACATTGTTGGGTGGAAGGAGAGGTCACCAAGAGGGAGCAATGCTGCCTTGCATCCTTACCCAGCACACAATACAGCCTTCCCCGCCAATGCCTTACAATGGTGTGGACTTCAACCCCAGTTCTGTGACTCATAGTCCAACCACTTCTGGAGTGCACATCAGTGCTGGGGAAGGCTAGCACAATACTGCCAGCCTCTTTACTAAGTCCAATGCTAGAACAAAACAAAGTATTATCAGAATGATCCAAAAATGGATGCACATAATTTATGGGACATAAATGAGTTGAATTGTCTATAGTTAAAAGCAGGGTTGCGATGACCCCACAGAATCTGGGCATCTTCTCTTTGTCAGACTTCTTTTTCTGGTTCAGTCCTGGCTTAGAAAGTGAACTGAGCCAAGCGGAAGCCTGCAAACCTTTGTGGATTGCCTGTTGCACAACCCAGCCACCTTCTTCTGAAGCATGAGCAGCACGAAGAAAGCCTGCAAGTCATGTGCGTGAAAGAGGGACACTGCTTGCACAGAGTTCACATGTGCTCAATTCCGGGTAGACATCCATGTGAATGTTTGTTGCCAAGTCAGACGTCAGGCTGCAGGAAGGTACGCTAGAGTCTGTGAAGCTGAACTGAGGGGAGCTGATGGATTCCCACCCCCGAAGTGGATTCTTCACACATCCCTTCTTAGAAGCTTTGCATATCCCAGAGCTCAAGGGCTGTCACCTATAGAACTCAGGGTTGTTAACATTTATTTATTTATTTATTTATTTATTTATTTATTTATTTATTATTTAAACATTTATATGCCGCCCCATTTGCCGAAGCCTCGGGGTGGCTTACAACATAATAAAAAATTACAATAGTAACAATATAAAATATAAAATAACAATATAAAATAAATAACAATATAAAAGAAGTCGCCCTGGCCAGATAAATAAGCAAATACTGTTAACAATTAAAATGATGCTTAAATAAAAAGGTCTTCGCCTGGCGCCGAAAAGCAAATAACGACGGCGCCAGGCGGACCTCTCTGGGGAGCGCATTCCATCTGTGGTAGTAAGTAGTTAGATTAAAACTAAGTAGTTAAAACTAAGTAGTTAGATTTGAGGCAGTTCCTTTTTTTTAAGCACAATGTTAATGTTCAGGCAACATCTCGGCCAAAACCTGAGATGATTTGACCTGAGCTGTATTTTAAATGGCTCTTTCCTCTCTCCACCGTTAGTCATCAGTTATGGGTGCAATACCATGCAGGCTTAGATAGAAGCTCCCAGTATGCCAGAGCCAGTACAGGACTGCATCTTGTGGCTTTACATTGGACTGTTGCCTTTCCACTGCTAGAAAGTCAAATTCCTTGAGTAAAGTGACCTTCAGATTTCCTAAGGAGAACATACATAACTGACTTGAACAAAAGACAGAATTTCCAGTAGCTTTTGAGAAAGCAATCCTTCATTCTGCAAACTTTAAAAAAAAATCTCCCAAGTGAATGCCATTGTAAATGAACCTTGTGAAAAATTGGGTCCTCCAGAGATTGGTTATCATTTTCATTTTACTTTAACAATGAAGTGTCTTTTGTCAGACTAGTTGCCAAACTCTTGGCATACTAAAAGGTCTCTAAATGATCTCAATTTCCCATGTGAAGATGGCTCACATGCTCAACTCCTGGGGCTTCTCTATGCTCTGCAAGGAGCAGCAGGCACACATGCTAACACTTATACAATGACTTTTATGGGGCTTCTCTTCAAACTCTTTCTCTCTGTTCTGAAATATTTTCATCTCACTTGCTATTTCATAGAACTACTTAGTGGTCCAGGTCACATAAAACCACAGCTCATGCAGTGATTAACCCATCAGCTATCAAGGCCAATCATGAATGGGCAAGTGCTCTGTTTCCCTTGCTAAACAGCCCCCAGGTTTGTTGTTGGGTTAAAATGCTGGGCTATTTCATCCTCAATAATACAGAGTGTAAGGTTAGGTTGTTATGACTAACAGTCAAGGAAGCTATTAGAAGGGAGTTTCCTTCAGGAGATGATGCAAGCAGACAATAAGAGTAGCAAAAAACAAAACAGAAAACCTTGAGCATGTTGCTAACAACATCAAGGACTATAATAAAGAATTATTTAAATGTATCAGAAGAGAGAACTTAACTAGTGAACTAGCTGGACTGTTGTATGGTAGTGAGATTCAAGGGAGTACTAAGGATTGCAGAGAAGTTGAATGTATTATTTTCACCTGTTTTTACAGCAGAGGATATAGGACAGATATTCATTCCTGAAATTATGTGTTCAGGAAGGGAGTCTGTGGGCAAAATATGAAATTCACAACCATACCGAAAAACTGAACGTTGATAAATAACTGGGCCCACATGTTATCCATACCAAAGTTCTTAAATTGCTCAGATATGAAATTGCTGACCTTCTTACAAAAATCTATTATATCAATCCGATTGTGAAGCAGAGGATTAGAGAAAGGCCAGTGCAACCCAATTTTTAAAAAGTGATCAAGGGAGATCAAGGTTTGTAGCAATTCCCCCAGGAGGAAAGATTACAACAGGTGGCACCATTTAGCTTAGAAAGAAAGGTGAGCAAGAGGAGCCATATCAGAGGTGCTTACAATTATACATAGCTTGGGGAAAGAGGAGAGGGTGACATTTTTCTTCCTCTCCCATAGTACTTTTGTTGTTGTTAGTCGTGAAGTCCTGTCCGACCCATCACGACCCCATGGACAACATTCCTCCAGACCTTCCTGTTCTCCACCATCCCCCGGAGTCCACTCAAGCTCACACCAACTGCTTCAGTGACTCCATCCAGCCACCTCATCCTCTGCCGCCCCCTTCTTCTTTTGCCATCTATTGTTCCAGCATTAGGGTCTTCTCCAGCGAGTCCTTCCTTCTCATTAGGTGGCCAAAGTATTTGAGTTTCATCTTCAATATCTGGCCTTCTAAAGAGCAGTCAGGGTTGATCTCCTCTAGGACTGATCGGTTTGATCGCCTTACAGTCCAAGGGACTCGCAGGAGTCTCCTCCAGCACCACAATTCAAAGGCCTCAATCCTTTGGCGCTCAACCTTCCTTATCGTACAGCTTTCACAGCCATACATTGCAACTGGGAAAACCATAACCTTGACTATATGCACTTTTGTTGGCAGGGTGATGTCTCTGCTTTTTAGTATGCTGTCTAGATTTGCCATAGTTTTCCTCCCCAGGAGCAAGCGTCTTTTAATTTCTTGGCTGCAGTCCCCATCTGCAGTGATCTTGGAGCCCAGGAAAATAAAATCTGTCACTACCTCCATTTCTTCCCCATCTATTTGCCAGGAAGTGAGAGGATTGGATGCCATGATCTTAGTTTTCTTAATGTTGAGTTTCAAGCCAACTTTTGCACTCTCCTCCTTCACCTGCATCAAGAGGCTCTTAAGTTCCTCTTTCTGCCATTAGAGTGGTATCATCTGCGTATCTGAGGTTGTTGATATTTCTCCAGGCAATCTTAATTCCAACTGGTGATTCATCTAGCCCCACCTTTCTAATGATGTGTTTTGCATAGGCAGGGCGACAGTATACAGCCTTGCCAAACTCCTTTTTCAATTCTGAACCAATCAGTGGTTCCATGTCCAGTTTTCACTGTTGCTTCCTGACCCACATACAGGTTTCTCAAGAGACAAATAAGATGGTCTGGTACTCCCATCTCTTTAAGAACTTGCCACAATTTGTTGTGATCCACACAATCAAAGGTTTTAGCATAGTCAATGAAGCAGAAGTAGATGTTTCCCATAGTACCAGCACCCTGTAAACTTAATGGATGGGAGATTCTGGAGAGTTAAAAAGAACTTCACAGAGTGCATAACTAAATTATGGAATTCACTGCCACAGGAAGTGGTGGTGATCACCAATTTGGACAGCTGTAAAAGGGGGTTGGATGCACTCATGGAGGAGAAGGCTTAATGGCCGTGTGCTGCAGCGGGGGACTGTTACACCC